CTTGAGGAGGATACCAGGAGTACTCTACACACAAAAAATTGTACCCACGTTCTCTGTAAGTGCACCCAATTTGCTTCTTATCTCTCTGTTCTTTGCAAAATTACAATTGGAGTACAAAGACTCAGTTATCAGGTTTTAATTTAATTCAGTTACTTAATCAGCAAGAATATAAATCACTCATTAGGTAGAGAATACTTTGGGGGAAAGCAATATAGCAAGTAGTCATGTTTACTTTGTTAGTTTTCTTCACAGCCATTCTCTCTTCTCTTGTCACATCTATACCTTGTAAGCTTCTACACATAAAAGAAATCCAAATTTTCTCTTTACATTTTAATCTCATCTTTGATGTGTAGCTGTAGGCTTAACACTGAGGAACGATAACAAATGAAATATTATACTTTTTTAATGTGATATATTTAACTTGCGATTTATCTTTTAATATCTATTTCAGAGACTATTTGACAGGAGTAAATAAACGAGGGCTTCCTGGCAAGAAAAACTGTGATTTATGAAACATTTTATTATTTGTTCTCTTAAGAACTTTCTTGAGAATACTGCTAACATCATGAGCTATGCAGTCCTATCCCACCATCTTACTCATAGTCAATTAGAAAACTGTATCAATAATAATGTAAAACAAATTACCTAGCTTCTCTTCCTGAAGCATAGATTTCAATGTTTGTCAAAGCATCTATGTGTACAAACAGCACTGCAGTGTTTTTCATTAAGCCTTGAAGTCAATTAAGCTACGAATTGGAACAATCATTCCTTCTTTGCAAAGTATTGATATTTTTTTCTTGGCTGCTTTCAAGCCTTTTCACTACTCAAGGAGAGATTTATGTTTGACAATTTCTTTCTGATTAAAATGAATCATAACTCTAGAATTCTAATTTCCTCTTTTCTGAGCAAGAAATTATCAAACAGTTTTAAATTGATTTGGAATGTCATCGTGCATGAACAACATTCATTTTTAAGATATCAACTGTAAAGCTATACTGATCTCTCTCTTATCTGCTTTTATACACTTTCTCTTGCATTCTCTCTATACATTTAAAGACATTAAATTGTACAAGTATAATATACCTTTCTAAAAAAATTATATATGACAGACTAGCTACATCAGTTACATTAAAACTTGTCACAATGCTTTACACACAAAGCAATTACCTCTCTATTTGCAACATTAGCAAAAAAATCCACTTCAGTAGGAAAATAACTGGAATACTGCATCTTGCAAATAAATGCCAGTTATCTAAAGTAATTTGCAGGTTTCTATGGCTCATCCTTGCACTAGAAGCTCAAACTTTCTATAAAGCAGCTTTTTTGACATAGATTATTAAGATCAGTTTTCTAGATTTGTCTCTAGTAGTCAAATAAGATCAATGAAAACTTATTTTGAAATATCCAGAATAATAGAAAAAAATTGATTTCTCTCATCATTCCTCCTTCTTTCTCTAAATCCTAATAGCTGGATTTTTGGTGCATGTTGCTTTCCAATTTTCACACATAACCTTACTTTTCAGCTTTTACCACGTAGTTCACTTCAAAAGTAATGCCTCCTGCAGTTTCTATTGAAATAAACAACAGATACAAAGAACACAGTAACACTACTTGATAGAGAAAATTCTCTGCTACAACATGCTATTTTCAGCATGTTCACCATCATTAATTCTGCATTTTTGCCAGCAATGAACAAGAGCTGCATGCTGCATTCATAACAATCTGTACCAGTGGAGGTGACCCATTGCTGCTGTCGCTGCTGCTGAAATTCACCACCCACTGCCTCGTTGTGCTCCATAAACATTCAGCAAGCTACGAATGTCAATGGGTGCCATCTTTTCTGCATGGAGAAATTCAGTTTCCTCTCTTTGCTGCATCTGCACTTCCATGTCAGACACCATTTTGTCAGTCTGCCCCACTGCTGCCATCTGTCACACGGCAACAAAATGGAATGGAATATTGGTGGAAGTTTCATCCTCTACAGCCATACCACCAACATCCACCTCTAACATTGTGGGCCAAGATAATAAAATAGGAGGCATTACTTTCAGAGCAGACCTTGTGGAAGATTTGTGGCTTCATTTTTATACAGATCATCAACTAGATAGTGGTACCAAATTGTAATAATGTCAGTTTATATATTTTTCAATCTTGTGTCTTCTTGCAAAGAGCTCTAGTTGCTTCTTTCATAAGGAATTACAGATGTTCCATGAGATAACAAAAGGCATAAAAAAGGAAACGTTCTCTGTCAGAAATTTAAACCTCAAGTTTTAAGGCATGCTGTCCCACAGAAAAGCCAGCACAGCATGCACATGGCTTTTGGTAATATTTTTGCTATAATTACAGAAGTACCTATTTTATTTCTAACACAGTACCCTTGAAGCACTTTTAGGACAATTAGGACACTAGCATTCCACACAGCAGCAACTTTTCAAGTTGTAAAAATGTACTTCTGCATATTAGAAGAAAATTTGGGTTTGGACATTCAGTTGAAAAGCAGGCGCTTATTTAACAAATTTCTATGCTTCAACATATTGGACAAAGACTGTATTTATAGCACAGCTCAGAAACAAATTCAATGCAAGCAGGTAGCACAACTGCTGCCAAAAACACTGAGCAAAATGAACATGAAGCTTTGTAAGGCTGCATCTTAAACAGCTTTTTTTTTTTTTTTAATTAATTCCAAATTGAAAAGTAAAGCTCAAGTAAACCCATTTCCTTTTAATTATTTTGCTTTCCCTAGGAACAAGAGAGACAAAATACTGTGGATATTTTGAAGTCCTTTATAGAACAGTACTTCCAGCCAAACTTTGAGAATTCATCTGAACCTTATAACATACGATGTTAACATTTTTCTGGAATCCTAATTTTAGGAAAGAATTACCTATTAATAACTTCCTGGTCTGTTCTGACATCTATAGGCTAAAAAATAATATTTTACGTCAATATTTTAATATTAGTATCAATTAACCAAATTAATCTTTGTCTCTGTTTTCAATAAACAGGGCAAGTTCTGTGTTTTCCTCAAGATTGCTTACAATTCGATGTAAATTTTAAGCTTCTTGTAATTCATCAACTAATTCTCTCCTGGTTACACATTCCAAGTAATTAAAGTTCAGTAATAACTTATTCTTTCTGCTCCAGCACCTGCATTTCATTTGTTTATTTTCCCAGAGTCATAAATCTGAAGGACTGTCAAAGTGCCATAATATTAGCGCAATAATCAAAGTTAATTAGTCCCTCTTAATAAACAACAACAAAGCCATTACAAAGATGCATTGAAGGTCTTCCAGCTACCCAGTTTACAGATGAGATTATTTTCTGAACAATTAGAATTTGAAAACTGTTAGTAAATAAGTGTAGTGTTTCTGAAGTCATTTGAAATTCAGTGATCTTCATTCAATTACAAATTCATTAACTTCTGGTGAAGCAATACAAGCTCTAAAACTAGTACTCCTAAATTCTCACAGCCTTCAAAACGCTTAAGATAAGCTTAGAATTAAGGGAGCAATGTGGTATTTTATGGTATTACACACTAAAATAAAAGAGTGCTGAGTATCTATTATCCTAAATTAAAAAAGAAAAAAATCATAGAATGGCTTGGGTTGGAAGGAATCCCAGAGATCATCTAGTTCCAACCCCATGCCACAGGCAGGTTTGCCAACCACTACATCAGGCAATAGATGAGGCTGCTCAGGGCTGCATCCAACCCGGCCTTGAACACCTCCAAGGATCGGCCAGCAGAATATCTCCCAGTGCAAGGAAACAGACAGGCAAAACTTGAAGCCTTATGTCCTATGCTCACCCATAAAGGAATTCTCTTAGAACTTCACATCTTTGAAGCAAACAAAAAGATAGCCTTAATGTGAAGTAAGGAAAAGATTGTTTTGCTTCTCAATTCTGTACTGTACATTGTTAATATCTTCCGAGCAAGAGAAAAATATCTAAAGCCAAAGATTTTGTTTCTTGAAGAAAATTGTGGTTACAAAAGTTAGTAGCATTATAAGCATTACTTGCTTAGAAAGTAAGTGCAAAACAAACAATGCTTGCTAATAAATATCTGTAGACTAACTATGTGTAAATATTAATAATACTGATGTTCCTCCATATCCTCTGGGAGCAGCCAAAATATTTTCAGAGATTGAGAAACAGAGCTAGAACATTTATCACTGTAATTCTAGCAGGACAGAAATGAAATTCCAAGAACTTGACCCTACAGTTTATTACTTAGAGCATACAGAACTGTGTCAACAGATTAACTCCTGAAGACAGCAATCAAAGCAAGCTTGGACAAAACTAGCCTTACTAGCAAGTAAATGTTTGTATAAGGAATAAGTTAAGAACACTGGACACATTAAAATAAGGGCCTTAGAAGATCTCCCAAAAAAGTAGGGAGAGGAGAGCTAGAAGGAGGAGAGAAATAAGGGAATAGAAGGCACTAAGGGGCTTGTATTTGTGTAACAAAATGGAAGAAAAATAAATGAAAGAGGGAAGAGATGTGAAGGAATTGAGACAAACTACCTGCAGCAGTGGTTCTGCCTGATGGACAGGGAAAGGAAAAAAACCCTTTGTTTTTTGAGAAGTATAAGAATGATTCCATGTAATCTCCTATAGTACAAAAACTACAGGCAAACAAATGGCCGTCTGATACCTCCGTGAGTACATTCTCCTTCAGCTTGTTACAGACTTTGGTTCTGGAATTACCCTGTCCTTTGAACTATGCAGTGCGCCTCAGTGGTTCTTTCAAACTTACAAAGCTTTTGTATATTCTTATATAACAATATGTCAAGCCTTACAATCCAGCACAATCATATGAAATGAAAAATCACCACCACTGAAGCAGAAGTGACCAAACAGTATATTACAAAGCAAGACAAATGCCCTTTTCCTTAGATTCTTCCATGGCAACGTAAGTACCTATTTAACTGCTTGTGCATCAAAAAAGAATCCATATACTGACAAACACAGTTTAATGTTGGACATTATAAGCATTCACTTACCCATTCCTCAAGAATGCGCTGTACAGCATCGTTGCCTCTTGACACATTTCTGCAGGCCAGGATAACGTAAGCCCCATGCAGCGCAAGAGACTTTGCCGTTTCAAAACCTACAATAAAGCATTTTCCCAGTCAGAAACATCTCAGTAACAAAAGAGAGCTATATCATTAGAAGAACAGGTGAGGCACATACTGAAGTACTCTAACACTACCTGCTGCCTGACTGTAAGCTTGCTGGTCACCTGGACCCAGCTGCTCAGAGAGAGAAGTACAGATCACTTTAAACAGGACTACCATTGCATACGTTTTGCTCGATAGGCTTGGGAACTTCAAAACACAGATTCCAATTTCTCTTTCTACCTTCATCAGTTAACAAAGTAGAACTCTACTTAATTCCTTACTTGCTTGACTGAAAGGGATAAGCAGGAATAAGCCTGAATAGTAACACTACAAACCTGTTACGTCTGGCAAGAGCACAGTGAAAGTGAAAGAGTATTGTAAGACCAAGTTCCAGGTGCTACAGATGCATTTAGCCTTTGGCTCATCAGTTTGAGAGCCACCTGTGGCAGCAGTGATCACCTAGAGGGACCAACAGTAAAAATCACATGGAGGTAATTGCTCCTTCTTCACAGCATACCCAACCTGTCAGACACTTCTGCCAAAAAGTGCAGACAAGAGAAATACCAAAGTGTCAAACCACTCCTGGGAAAGAGTTGCCCAGTTCACTCTTAGAAAATTAGGTTCTACCAAGATAGATTATAATCTACTACAGCATTTTATTATATAAGCAGTTTAAAATCTTTGCTAAGATTTTGTTCAAATGATCTGGGTACAGTAACCTCATTTTTTCACCACTTAATGCCTAACAACTTCTCACAACTGTCTCATGAATAACCAACTACGCACTTTCGATACACTGGGTACAGTATCGTAGACTAAGTGGTTCACTGGATTAACCTGATGACACAACAAAAAACTAAGCCATGAAAAAAAAAAAAAAAAATCCTTCTTTTGGGTAAACCAGTGGACATGACAGTCTGCAAGCACATTCTTTCCAAATCTGAAACAAGAGGAAAGATAATTCACATTTTACTGCAGTGCAGCATTAATGAATATCCCTTTTTAAACTTTCACACACACAGGAAAAATATACAGTGAATTTCTAAGCCTCTTTATGAACTTGTTGGCAATACTATTAATCAGTTCTTCCCTGTTCTCAATCTGGGAACTTAATTTCTCCTTTCCAAAAAGGCACTTCAGATTAATTTCCATTTGTTAATTTGGAACTGTCTTGAATTTAATGAGATCAATTCAAACTATGGAATTATCCACCAAGAGCTGCAGCTATCCACTTTTGCATCATATGCAAGCTATGCAAGTGAGCGCTGTTTTGCTGCCCAATTCATTAATGAAAAGCTGCCTAGAAGCCAGTCCAAGATAAACTTTATTTAATTAGAAAGATCTGTGACAATTTACAACAGGAGACTGATGAGTTCTTGGGAGCACAGAAAGCTTATAAAACACAGAGACTTGAGCCAGAAACTAGGTTTCTATTGGGGTGATCGTGTTTGTGATCTATTCAATAGTACCACTGGGTGCCCATTTCCATGGAAAACTCTAACAATGGAACTCTTTGAAAGAAGCATAACATAACTTAATGAGTTCAAATTAGACAAGCTTAAACTAGAAAATGAAAAATCAAACTGAAATGCCCAGCAATTTAAGCATGTGAATAAGTCAAGGAGAAGAGGTATTTGTTTTAGCTTTATAATATTTAAAGCATGTTCATGTTTTCATTTTAAAATTTGTTTACAAAAAAAATCTATTAAGATAGGCTATCTCACTTTCAAAACACCCTGGAGCAACAAAACTCAGAGCATAAGATGTAACTTCCATTATAGAAACAAGAGACACCAAGACAAATTTAGACCATTTTCTGCAATTACATACTTATGGTATTTAAGTCCAAGTAATTTTCTTCCATCTCTTTTAAAGCCATTCATTGTACCAAGCAGCTTTAATTACCTGGGTAATTCACTGCATGCACATGAATTCAGCTACAGTATGTGCAAAGATTTCCTCTGTTCCTAATTCTACTTTAAGTGTATTTAATTAGAATTTTTCATATAACTGAAGTAAGACACATTGTACCACAGCACTATTAGCTAACTGTATGCTTCCTGTTTTGCACAAAAGAAAACAATGCGTTCTTCACATCCTACCATATTACTAAAACTAGAGAAATGCCTGGAATATTTACTGTACTGTTATACAAAGACAGCCAGTTTAATTTGCTGGGTATGATGATGTTTAGCTAACCACATCCCATGTCACACTTTGCACAAAATAATAAATTCCATGTCATTCTCATTTACGGTTAATAACTTGATTATAAATTAAACTGAAAACGACTAAAATTGAACTAATTACAAACTCCAAATTCAGTTAATAATACCACTTTGATTTTTCTTGCAAAGCCAGTGACTAAAACCCTCCCTCTAGTACTTACTCCTCTTGGCTCCACCAGAGGATTATTCTTCACCCACAGGCAGACGCATTCTGAATCTTTCCACGAAATTAAGTGCTTAAAAACCCTCTGGTTGAATTTTTAACCAGCAGTCCCTCCTTCCATTCAAAATTCAGCCACAGGTCAAGTGGTGATGGATCCATCACCACAACATTTGTTATGTTCATATTATAAATTACTAACTCATTCATACACAAACTGTATTTAGAACAGTTAGATTTGTGCAAAGAGAGAAAAATAAATCCAGGTATCCCAAACCACACAATTACTCCAATTCAGCGACCAAATTATTAGCTTTGTTTGGGATTGCATATAACCATTATGACTTGGTCTTTCTTTCTCCTAGTTTGTGTGAAGCACAATCTTTCCAGACTGTCTACGGCATGAAAACTATCAAGAATAAGAGGCAACATGATGACTGCATCATAGAATTCACTAGGGATTAAGTTAGAACTACCTATTGAATTGCTCAGCCCTCTCAAGAGGGCAGCATTTTTAGATATGTCCTTAAAATAGATCTAAATAGTCTGAAAGCTCCTAATAAGCAGTGAAATTAATTAGCTTCACACTTTATCAAGTAACTAGGCAGGAGCTTAGAAAACTGCAATTTCAAACTAAAATTCCTGAAGTAAGATTTAGGAAGTATCTTGGTTTTCAAGCCCTTCTTATAGCTTTAGCTCTTTGTTTTTCCTGCAGAATTTAACCCTTCTTTCCTCCTTCAGTGTCACATGCATAACAGAAAGGGAGAGAAGCTTCTAAAATAGTGGAAAAGTTATCAACAGACTCATGCTGTTAAATCAAGTTTGCCAACACTATTTGTGCTTCAGCAAAATGGAGCAGTGTTTTCAACACACAGCAAACCATTTTAAAACCTAAGCCTCATACAGGGACTGAGTATTTTAAGTACAAAACCATTGAAGTTCTAGGAAGAGAAACCTTACTTGTCTGCAAGAAAATACATTAATCAAAATACATGTTCAATGTGGTTTCATACAACAAAGTTAAATCACAAATATAAAACAAACATTCAAGAAGAGTCATAGCAGGATAAATAAAAAGAGAAATTTACATAATTATGTTAAGGAAGTGCATTGTTGATGGAATAAAACAACCTCAATTCCACCCATAAGAGTAACTCACAGAGTTCAAAAGAACCCAAACACTTCTTAAAATAATTTCACTTGCAAAGTTAAAAACTTGAATATCCTTTCATAGAGAACATACTGCATCATCACCCATTACATATTATTCGTGAGTTTGTTATTTCAGGGGTTGTTGTTGCTGGGCTGGGCTTTGGTTCTTAGTGTTTTTGTTTGTTTATTTAAAAGCATGTAAAACCTCATTAAAAACACAGCTCATAAGAATGCACATGAACATTAAGGATTGCTGGTTACAAAAAACAAGGTAAATGCTTCCCAAAATGTGACAGGAGAACAATACATATGCTGGAAAGCAACCACATTATATTTAAATTTTAAATACAATATATTGTTCAGCAAACATTTTCTAAAACTAAGATAAACTTCAAGTGATTACTCCGGAAATTTTGAGAGGTATGAGCTTTCTGAGGTCACTGCTCCTGTTCCTTAACGAGTTCTAATTTGACACTCCGAAATGACAACCCTGTTTCAGAGCTACATTAAGTAAATACTATAGCACAGCTTTTCACATCAGCAGAGAACATTAAAGACTGATAGTAGAATTAATAAGAGCTACCTGAACAGTAAGTGTATGGGATTTCCTCCAGGCATTTAAAACCTTTCAGCCCTTTATTTACATCAAAGACTCAAGAACTAGCATCGGATTTCATTTTTCATAGTCTATGATTTTTCAACACCATACTCTCACTTTGTCTATCCACAATTGAGTTCTGTCAGTGAATTTGGGGACAGATTTTCAGCTAATGGTCTCAATTAATGAGCAGTATGCATTGTTCAATTAATGCCAACTCAACATAAGCCAAGTGAGTGTATGGGTCTGTCACACAGTACAACCTCCTCTATAAAACAAAGAAAATAATTCATTGAGTGGAAAAGTGATCTGATGATTTATTAATTAAGGGGCACTACAGAACCTACTTACCATTAGCTTGTAGAGGACTTTGTAAAGAATTTGCAGCAGGCATTTAAATGTTTGGAAGTAGCTTTTTTAGCATTTTTTTGTTTTGTTTTTATTCTAAACATAGATAGGAAATTTTGAATACACAAAAAGAAATTCAGAAACATTTCAGACAGCAAGACTTTCAGCTTCTCTGCCTTCTCTGAAACACTCCACAAAACACTGGATCTGTCACTTACAGCACACATGAACAGCAGAGTTGACATCTTTCTTTCCAAAAGCTCAGTCCTCTTATTTAAAAGCCTACAGGGTTTGTTTGCCTTTAGCTTCTTGAAAATGATTTCTTCCCTTCTCTCCATTGATAGAAGAGTTCTGGAGGCCCTGAGGTTCTTCCCATGTGCTGCAGTACCAATTTCAAGCTGTCACAACTCCAGCCTTCCTTGAGCCCTATGTCACAGGCCGTCTGAATGTAAACTACAAGGAATTCCAGAAGAAAGCCTTCTTACCTTCCACTACTGTAAACAT